GGGGCTTTTGGTTAGGTCAGGTAGAGGAAAAAGTATGCCGTGTTAGGAGAACACTATGGTGGGGAAAACCAGACTTCCGGTCAGCTCTAGAATTGAATGGGGGGCTTTTGGTTAGGACCTTTGTGGCTCTTTGAGTGTTTAAGGTTGCTGACCTCTGACCTAGGGGATTAGGCTGGCTGGCAGCTTATCTAATGAAAGTCTTTCTCCTCCAGCACAGAATGCCCAATTAATGGAATAAAGGTTCCATTTTATATATTTGTTTGGATTGAAATCTGCATCTGAACAGGTCTTCATTGTTTAAAGCCAAAGTGCTTTCAGTCATATAATTTCTCTTTCAGAATCTCACCAGTTGTTTATTGGGTATGAATATGACATCTTTTTGCTAAGGTATATTAGCTAAAAAAATTGATCAACTAAAAAAAAAAACAATCTCGAAGAAGTAGATGCAGAGATCCATCTTTCCTAATATCTTTTCCAAAGATGATGGTAACCTACGCTGCTGTGATTGGTGGAGAGAGTTTCACAGCATCAATGCTTGCTTCAGAAACAGATTGTGATCCCATATGTTTTGAGAATAAAGCAATCCATATTCAAAAAAAAAAGTATCAACAAAGTCATTCAGCACCTGTCCCGAAGATGCTAGCAAATTCGGTAAGAAGCAACTCTACCACCTGATTCTGGTACACCATGTCCTCTATGAGGCTGGCTACATCTCGCTCATGTCGCAACAGCGTTGGCCCAAAAACAATGCCAATGTTCTGAGTTGTCATCCTGTTGACATCTGAATGATCCATCACCCTGAATGAGGAGGGAAAAAACCCGTAAATGAGAACATCATGCTATTTTGGTCACGTTCGATGCATCCATTGCTAAAGCAGACAGGCAGGTTTAATTGAGATTTCATTTCTAAAACAAAACATGCTGAAAATCACATTCATTGGCTCGTAAGCCATTTGTCTAAATAACCAATCAAAGACACAATCAGGGCAACAAATCAGAAGAGAAAGAGAAGACAAAGTGTACTGGAAATCCCTTCTTCCACAAAGCAACTTTTGGATATCCTGTAATTTCTATTCCTATATTCCCAAAGTTAGCGCCAGGATCAAATTTACAGCCAGTTGCTCAACCATCCATGTAAGGAAATGGTTTCCATTTAGATTCCCTTTCAGAAGACAAAATATGAGGCTCTAGACCTGATTTCTAGAAGATACAATACAATAGCAGAGTTGGAAGGGACCTTGGAGGTCTTCTAGTCCAACCCCCTGCCTAGGCAGG